TGGGCGGGGAGGGGGAGCAGGATGGGAGGCAACAGCTCCTGGCCGCCGCCCCCATCGTGTCCAGGGAGGGGGAGCAGGACGGGAGGCAGCGGCTCCCGGCCGCCCCCCCCATCGCCTCCTCAGCTTATATAAAGGAATAAAATAGTATACCCGTATTTTCCGGCGTATAAGATGACTGGGCGTATAAGACGACCCCCGACTTTTAAGAAGATTTTCAGGGTTTAGAAAGTCGTCTTATACGCCGGAAAATACGGTACTTTATGGCTCAGAGCAGTTTGTACCCATTCACAATTATGTGTTTGGAGTGTAAGTGTGCAGGTAATGAAATTATTATATTGAAAAATGAGTTTGCTTATTTGCAGTAATAAAAATGTATATGCATAATAAAACCATAATTTTACAGAATTTCATTCAGTAGAAATCAGATGCAACAGATAAAATTTCACTTCAGCTTTCTTCCCAGGGAAAATTCCATTATTTGGCTAAGTAATTTACATAAATTTATATGTGATTTAATTCATTTTAAGTACACTCAGATCTAACATTAAATAGAAATTTTACTACATTCTCCAATCCTGTTTGAATGGGCTCTATTTTAGATATATACAGTGCTTTTTAAAAAAAAAAAAAAAAAAAAAGGTGCCGGAACTCACACACATCATACAACCCGCCTTGCCTACCCTACAAGGTTCCATCCAAAAAAGGTGCCTTAACTCCGTTCTGGGCGTTCTATGAGAAAAAGCCCTGGATATATACATAAATATATACATTTTATTTGTTGAGTTGCTTGCCTTGTGATTATGTATTTTCTATAAGATTCTCCTCATCCCAGTCCACTGCCATATTAGATATTACATCTGTAGTAATATTTTGTTTTAGAGTTAACACTAATAATACAATGAAATTCATTTTTAAACACACCAAATAGAAAAACTACAGCAAACTGTACAGCAAACAAATCATTATGAAGAAAGGGTTTTCTGTAATTACTTTTAGTACCAATGGTCCACATTTATCCTTTTCAACAAAGAGCTCTATCTGCAGACATTTATTGTTCTCAACTCTCCTTCCACATTAAAATAAAACCTGCTCCCGAAACTCACTCCATACAATATACGCCTCCTATCTTAAACTAACTTCCCCCAACCTTCTGAAACCTAGTGAATATTAAATTAAGGTTGAGCACTATTTTTGTTCCCATTAGATATAGGCGACTTAATACAATAAGAGTTGGAAGACTTTACAGGTCTTCTAATCCAAGCCCCTGCTCAATACCATTTCAAACAAATGGCTGCCCAATCTCTTCTTAAAAACCTCCAGCGATGGAGCACCCATTACTTCTGACAGCACGGTATGTTTACCGCTGTAAGCTATCTATGAAAAAAAATAATACAGGCGGGATAAAAAATCTAAAACAAAAAGTATGTCATAAGGCCTCAAGTAGAACAAGTTTATCAACAGGAGGAAAAACTGCCAAAGATGGAATTGGTGCTTTAAGCTCTGCCAGACTTCTAGGATAACCTTTATTGCCATTTTTTTTACTGTGGGCAAACTGGCACACATTAAAAATGAAATTCTGTTGCCTGCTCTCAAAAGTGTACACATACATAACACACATACAAACATGCTATATACAACAGATGTATACACCTACACCCTTACATATAAATACATATAAATATTAATCACTGACCATCTTGAATACATAGCGGAGAGAGGAAGCTTGAGAGTTCACAAGGTTAATACTGTATGGAACAAAACTGTGACTGAATCTGGTTGTTCTGCTTCAGATATCATGAAGCCTCCTCCCAGAAGGTAGCAAGGAAAACAGGTTGTGAAGAGGATATGAAGTTTCCCAGACAAACCTGTGGACCCTGCTCAAGCAACCCTTATATGTGACAGAGAAAGGCAGAATTGAGATTTTAGGATTCCTTCTCCAATATTCCTCTCCAACTGTAATCAGAGAGAAGAGAATTACAGGGCTATGGGCATGCATAGGAATTGGAAAGGGAAACAAAGTTGGATAATCTCCAAGAACAGACATCACTCTCTTGCTGCCCTCACATGGGGAGATCTAAAATAGGACATTTCTGAGATATGGTCTCAGGGAACTGCACCCAAAGAGTGCTTTTCAACCTTTTTCTTGGAATTCTAGTTCTTTATACTTCAGTAGTAACTGATATTGCTTCCTCTAATAATAAATTATTTTTAGTAGCAAATATTCTTCCTTCCCCTTTATATTTTTTAATATTCACTCTACAAAGCTTGAGGATAAATTTTGATAGCATATAATAGAATGTATGAAGTTTGATAAAATAATTAAAATATAAACAATTCTCTTCCTGTGGGAATAGAATTAGTTCTTGAGTATTACAAAATTCACACAGAACTGGAGGGCTGATTTCCTAAACTCTTATGATCTCGGCACTTCAATAATCCAGATGTATTCAATTATACATTATTATTTAATATTCCAGATGTATTTAATATTCCACTATGTATAAATGACATAACATAGAACCAGGTGGTGATATTTCAAAGTCTTGAGTAGGTCCTTTAAATGCCAGTCCAAAAGTTGTCATCAAACCATATTTTAAAAAATGACAAGGAAATTATTAAAGATGTGTAATATACAAATGTGACTTCTAATTATGTTTAAATCAAGTTTTCAATTGAAACTAATTGCTGATAGGTAGCTCCCACCACACCAAAGTCCAAAGGCTCTCTTTAAAGATATACTTGTTTTGGGCTCTGCCTACTCATTATAATAATATATGTGTGAATCAGTCTAATGTTATTAGTTTAAAAAAAATTCTAAAAATCTTAACTTGTATCTGTATACATGCAATGGATGTGCATATATTAAAATTAGTGAGAACACTCATAGTTAAAGGTTACTTGAAAATACAATCACAACAGTGCTGTTGTAAATATTAAACTTCTATCTTTAGTAGCTACAAGAAAAGGTTCCTACCAATTTTAAAATGTGATGATGCTGACAACTAATAGCAGCCAAGCAGGGTCAGCATACTTAACACTAACTGATCCACATTTTTTTTAGGAAGAGAATGGCAATTATTTATTGTTCAGTATCTAAGTTATTCAAAATTATTAGCATGTAACAAAACTACACTTTTCTGAAGTTTGGCAGCCCTCAGCTTAATTTTAATTACATACATCTACTTTGTTGAAACGTCAAGTTGAACACATCATATCTTAAAATATGCACGCCAACTTTGCCTTACAATGGTGTTGTAACATTTCCAGGCAGAGGATTGGTCTAGATCAGGCATGTCAAACTCGTGACGTCACATGATATCGCGTGATGTATCGTGACTTTTCCCCCATTGCCAGCAATGGGGTGCGCACGGTTTCAGTATGATGCATCTGACCCCACGGGCTGGCAGTTTGACATGCCTGGTCTAGATAATCTGTATGGAACCTTACAGCTTACAGTCTACGGTTCTATACGTGACCTTTCTAAAATAAATTATTTTTGACTAAACTTTTAGATCTGAACTTCCACTCTTCTGTAAAGGAATCAACACAAAGATTCAAGAAAAGGTATACAAAGATTGCCTCACAGATAAGCATAATTACAATGGAGTGCATACTATTTCTTGATAAGTAATTGCTATTATGACCACTTTATCCATTAACTTATCTGAAAATATAGTCATATTCAGTTTGGAGTACACAAGTGCATACCTTCACTTTGCTCCTAAACATATCACAATCTTAATATGACAAGCAATAATCACAATTCCTTATGGTATTTCATTTGTTTCCTGAACTCATTCTCTTTTGAGAGTTCCATACATAAGTTCTCTTCTTAAGGTGTTACACTAGCACCCTTAGATGAATTAACATCTAATTCTCCTTAATTATATATTGGAAATACTTTATTGGAATGTAGGTTATTCTATCCTTTTGTAACTCTAGCACTCACAGTCTTTCTGTTTTTAAAGAATGTAAGCTGGATCTGATCTTTGATTAATCTTCAATGAAAAGACATTTCACTGATACTGGAGTATCCACCAAGCATGCCTTTGGTCTATAAAAGTATAATCCAAAGAAGTCTTTTGAATTACTATAAAAATAGAATGAGAGGAAAAATGCATGATTTTTAAGATTTTAGAATTTAAAGCATCACATTACATTATTCCTAGAAGATAATGGAGCCAACACATTTAAGTATAGCAAGCTTTTTGCAACACATTCCACTCAATAAAATGCTGCATATCAAATCAGTTGGAAAGTTTCAGTTTCAAAAGCACAGTAGTCTAGCATAGCTGAACAGTGATCAAATTCAAAAGTGAAGAGTAGGGACATAGATATAGCACCTTTTGACAGCTCCTTAAATCAATTGTGTCTTTCTTTGGGACTGTAAAGGAAAGACACAATTTCTTAAAGAAGTTACAAACAAGTGTTATGTGAACACAATGCATGCTTTCAATCACCTTTTCTCCTTTGATTCCAGATCACTGTACACTCAAAGATAGCATCAGGACTCATCAGATGAAGTCAAATCATTCTGAACACAAATACAATCACCTTCTCAGGAAGACTTTTTTGACTTCCCAGTTTAAAACCCTGAGCTTTCCTGGTAGTTTCTCTTTGAAGTATGAACCATCACACAATCATGCTTACTTTTTTTCAATATAAGCTAAACATTCCTTTTATTACAACTTTTTCAGAGTCCTGAAAAATGTAAGAGAATATTTTAAAATTGAAAAAAGCATCATGCATTGTATCTATATTTTTATTTTTTCCTCATACTCTATCAAACACTGTGACATCAACTTTCCTAGTATTCTTCAAAAGGTATACCTAAACCATTTATTTTGGTAAGTAGAGTGCAAGTTATGTTAAAGTGATCTGACCAATCTCTAACAACTATAAAGCCACCACATTTGAAAGTGAATGTATTGAACATTAGTGTATTTATATGTGTAAAGTATACATGGTTGAAGTGAAACATAAAAAGAGCACACACTAACCAGTCGTTTGCTATAACGGATCCGTTCTTCTTCAGGTTCCATCTCAGACTCTTCTGATGAGAGTGAGAAGGATATATCAGAACTACTATCTTCTTCCTGTTCCTCCTTGAGATCAGAGAAAGGAAACACTATATAAGAAATTCCCCTTCAATACTTTCTTTAGGCCTTCCAAAACATGTCACACCTTCAGATGTTTTGAATTTCAGTTTCTGCCACCCATACTGATCAGAAAATAGTTATCATTCAGATAACTAGAGTGTTTGCAATCTAAGTATGATCTGGCAGTCGCATGAGAGAAGCATATCAATGTATTTATTAAATGTATAAGGCCATCATGACTCTGGATAGCATAAAACACTAAAATGAGGCCAACTCCATCATAACTCTGGATAGCATAAAACACTAAAATGATATAAACAATGAAGAACAGTACTGTCTGGACATAACAACAAAACATATCAATCTACCATAAAAGTCCACCATCAACCATGGTCTAAGGCTTGAGAGAATAGTCATGTTTAAACCACCCGAGGTTTCTGGGAGTCTGGTGGCATATAAATTTAATAAATAACAATCATTTGAAAAAAGGTAGGCTAAGGGTCATATGAATTCATATAGCAGGTGCTGTGATAGAGAAGGTCTTCTTTGAAATAATAGGAAAGGCCTCCTTTTCATCAGGTGACACTGATCAATGGGAACTCAGAGCATGTCAACTATGTCCAATTGTACAGGAAGGGGAGAAATGACAGAAGACAGATGGTTCTCAGATTACCAAGTCCTATATCATGAAGACTTTATAAATGCCATCAACACTTTGAGTTGCATCCAGAAGCTTACCGAAAACCAGTGCAGCTTATGAATCAGACATGTTACATTCTGCCTGTGCTACTGCATTCTAAACCAGTTGCTTCTGAGGGGTCTTCCAAAATTTGTCCAGTGCTAATGCACAGGTGTATGTTGATCTAGTTGTTTTTTTTAAATGGGTTGAAAAATCAATTTTAAAAAAATATGCCCAATTCAAAAAAGTTTTCATTTATAGAAAGCATTTCAAAATACTAAGATTATAAAGATAGTACTCATAATTATCATGCCACCTGTAAAACAATTCCAATTTGACTTATTATGTATTATAATGATTTAATACATAGAAGAGTAACCCTTTTCAGCTTGAGGAATATTTAATAAAGCAGTTTCTAATATTATATCAAGTATCCTCAAACTGAATCAGGATCATCGAGACAATCCCAAGCAACTTAGAGGGGTGTCTTGGTCTTTAAAAGACTTCATCAGGCTTGCTCAGGCAAAGGAGGGCACTGTAAAAACTTGTTCTGGGTTTTGCTCCTAATTCTGTATATATACAAGCTCATAGTGGGAAGCTGCAGTAACTGCAAAGTATGAGAACTCCTACAATAATGGATTAAAGCAATGAGTAAAAGTGATACATTTATTTCATGCCCAATCTTAACATCACTGTAATTATTTTTACCCATGAGGACAAAGTTGTACAAATTCACTACCAATATTCTGATAGGGGTTCCTACCATGCAAAGCTTGTGATCCATTGACTTATATTGTACTATAAACTGAAAGTGAGTCCTCTGTTGCCCTTCTACTCTTTAAAGCATAGCTAAGGTGAGGAATCTTAGGAGTTATATTTCGGAGAGCCACATGTTATCTAACCATGTTTTAAATCCATATTGATGTAATATATTTAGAAGACAGTTATAGCCAAAACAACAGCAGCAACAAAATTCTTTTTAGTATTTTAAGATATTATACTAGTCACAATTTATGATTTTAACCATTATATGTGTTGCCAATTTGATGTTTCTTTACAGCAACTATTGTGAAGTGTATGTACTATAATCATAATTTTGCTGCATAACTATAAAAGGATTCCTGTAATTAAAAGTTTATACAGCAAGATAAATCCAGTATTACAACTGCCTGACACCAAAAGCCTATTTAGGAATAATAATGTACAAACCACAAAACTGATGAATGAAGAGAGGATTCATTATTGTATAAGTAACACAGGAATCCATCTTTGGAAGCTCTATATTAACTTTTATAAACATTTCTTAAATAAAAATACATGTTAAGACAAACTGCCTAACTTGTTTTAGTCACAGTTTGAAAAACTAACAAGAGTTAAGTTCTGCCTTGGTGATTTGAAGTATAAATAGCAAGAAGGAATTGGGTGGAGTAAGGGAAATTCAGAGAAGTCTACTTGCCCCCAACACCAATCTCACTTGTTGTCCCAAAGTCCCAGAGCCAATAAAATAGTTCAGAACAATACTGTTAAAAGGAGTCATAAATTAGGGAGAATCATTATCTGGATTTTAAGCACTAGCATATTACATAATTTGCACGGACACAAATGCAGTGAAACACCTTCGTTTTCACCACGGAGAAGAGGAAGTATTAAATAGAACATTGTTTGCAAAACTACAGAATATAAACAAAGTTAGCTCTTACCAGGGCTCTGATTTTCCTTTGCCCCTTTCTAGGGCAAGAAAAAAAGGAAAAGGAAAAAAAAATATCAATAAATTCCCAATCGTCTTCAAAAGCTGGACAACTTTCGCATCCAGAAAGAGCAGGAAGCCTTCAAATACAAAGAGTAACCGATTTCCTTCTGTGGAGTGGGGGTTGCCAGGGGGATCTTGGAGGGCATACCGGTACTATATCCCGGCTCCTCTCCACAAGGCCGGGCTTGGGGGGGGGAGGGTGTCCTGAGAACTATAGCCTCTCTTCACCTTAGCTCCCAAACGACCAACTCTGGAAGCAGTTAATTCGACGCAGGGAAAAAGAAAAACTCCCACAAAGTCCCTGCCGCGCCATAAACTCTCTCCCAGGTCCGACTGGGATAATAAGATAAACGAGCTTTCCCCTATCGACTTGGCCCCACAATCCCTGGAAATCCCCCATTCAAGACCAGTCTCGCCCACACACACCTTCAGCCTTCCCAGTCTCTCAACTTGCCTCTCGAGCCTCTGCCCATCCCTCCGATTCTCACCTCAGTAGCCTTGGCTCATCTCAAACGCCTCCAGGGAGATTAGCCCAGCCCCCTTCCCACGAGACTACCGGCCCCATCCTGGGCTTTTTAGGGTGGCCCCGAACTCGCACCCAAACCTCAGCCTTGTCGCTTCCACTTCTATCAACCCCCCCCCCCCGGGGCACAGTTACAACCTCCCACTACAGAGGGCCACTAAGCACCCTCGCCTCGGTTCTCGGGCCTCCTAGTAGCGCATAGGTCAATCACTCAACCCCACCGTCATTCGCCCTCCTTCCCTTCCCGCCGCCCCCAGATTCTTCCCCTCACATAGAAGCAGCCGCCGCCGCCATTTTGAACCCGTCAGACTCTCACATACACACATATTCGGCCGCCATACTGCGCCTGCGCGGCGTACCCTTCCCTCTCTGACCCCTCCCAACAAGCAAGGCCTCCCCGTGCGCACGCGCGCTTTTCTCCACCTGGAGTTGAACCCTTTTTAACTGCGCACGCGCATAAGCGGAATCTACTTTTGGCCTAGACTTGACCAGTGGATACGCATGCGTAGTATTTATTTATTTATTTATTTGATCTATCTATCTATCTCTACTTTAATCTATCTCCCTTCCTCGCTTTCTCCTCTCGTCCTCTGATTTGACCGGAGCTTTACGTAAAATTGTGGCTTTCTGTTGCGCCACCTACTGGAATATTACTATTTCCGAGGCATGCAAAACGTTGATTGTCTCTGCTTCACGGAGGGAAGAAGTGCTGCGAGGGAACGTTCGACCTGGTGTTTATTCCGGATAAGAGTTATTGATCTCCGTGGAACTGATCCGGAATAGGGAAATTAAGGATTCTGTTTTACATGTTACGCCCGCAGGCTAATTCTATCGCAGAGAAGCTTTATCTGATGCAGTTACCAAGTGAAATAGGATGGGGAGGGGCATTAAACACATTAGTAGGCCTATTTAAGCAAAAAGTGTGGGGTCGTATCCTATTAAGTGCAGCGCTGCGTGTTTCTCTCCTCATCTTAACGGAAAAGAAGAGCAGCCGCTCTCTCCAACCTTTTCTTTCAGGAACTGAAAAATAACTGATTCTGCCGCATCGTTTTAAGTTCTAAAAAGCAATTAGAAATTTGCTACTCAATAAAGAAAAAAACATGTTCTGGCTGGCGTGCATTCGCTTACCCGTTCTCTTTCCCAACAATCCTGATTGGGCAAAGCCGGTTTTCTGTCACAATTCTGGATCGCAATGAGAGCGTAATGAGAGGACCTTTTGGTTTAGAGTCGGCTTTCACAAAGTGTGATACAAGAAAAAAAATGCCTCATGTTTCAAAATCTGTACATAAAGCGTTTTAAGGGGGGGATATATAGACTGGCACCTATTTAACAAAGCTAATTAGATTTTGCTGATAGCTGTTGTCATTGCATAATTGCTTTAGAGTCAATCAATGTTTTAAGATTCACAAAAGTGAGGTGTTACCCTAATATTTTGGAGGCAGAGTTGAAAAAAATCTTCCTGAGGAATATTTCAGTTATAGATAGTCCACTACTTAGGACACAATTGAGCCCAAAATTTCTGCTGCTAAGCAAGACAGTTGTTAAGTGAGTTTTGGCCCCTTTTTATACCTTTCTTTCCACAGTGAATCATTGCAGTTATTAAATTAGTAACACAGTCGTTAAGTGAATCTGACTTCCCTATTGACTGTCAGAAGGTCACCAAAGGTGATCACATGACCCCAGACACTGCAACTGTCATAAATAAATTCTAGTTGCCAAGTATTTGAATTTTGTTCATGTGACCGGAGGATGCTGCAACAGTCATAAGTGTGAAAAACAATCGTAAGTCACTTTTTTCAGGGCTGTTGTAACTTCGAACGGTCACTAAATAAATGTAAGTTGAGGGCTACTTGTATATTGAAATCAGGCTTTTGCAATATGACAAAGTTTGTTTCAGAAAGTCTTTTTTAATACTCTATATTTGAAATGAATTATGCATTAATAGATTGGTAGTAAAAGCAAGGGTCACTTAACTAATTTGTTATGAGTAGATTAATTGTATGTTTCTCCAATCAGAAATATTTTTCAATAGTCCTAGGTGCAGATAAACATGCATGAAATTGGGTTGTCAGTATATTTATTTTAAAAATCTGAGTAATGCATGAGATTGAAATGCAATATGCTTACCGTGAACAATTCTACTGTAATGAATGAAACTTAATCATTGTAGGAGGTATATTTCTACTGAGGTTGAAATGATTCATGCAACATGTAGTCATACAAAATTATTACTTCCATTTTCAATTCCAATTAGGAGAACTAGTTTGGTCTAGTGGTTAGATCGGGTTAGAAACCAGGAGAGAGTGAATTATGGTTCTATTTTAGGCATTGAAAGCCAAGTGGGTGACTTTGAACCAGTCACTCTCAGCCCAAGGCATCAGGTTTTGGTGACAAGTTTGTCAATTCCTGCCTCAAATGGATCAACATCAGTTAAACTAAAAAAAAAGAAGACCTTGCTCTTGTGGGAAAATAATAGGAAGAAAAAAATCAATCCCAATGAGCAGTTATGTTGAAAGAAAGTGATAGGAATGCAGGATTTGGATGTAAATAACTGAACACTATTGGTGCCTAGAAAATCAGGATCCCCATTCATTGTAAAATAATATTGTAGTGACTAACTTTAACCAGAAATTTATACTCATCTTTAAAAGAACAATCTTTTGTATTTCTTTTTTAAAATAATATTTTATTGGTTTTCTAATTTTACAATTAAACATTTAAAAAGCAACGTGGTGACTGGGTAATCAATGATTCCATAACATACATAAATCTCAAGTTACAACATCAGATATTTCTTCTCTTTATCCCTTAATATCTACTATCTCATATTGAATTAATATAATTCTTATTGTTATCAACTAATGATTCTTTAAATCATTTTAAAAATAATAAAATCATAGTTTCTTTACAAGTCTGTCGGGGCTTAGCAGCATGCTGCAGTTTCTCAGCATTAAGGTGCTTCCTGCTTAATTGCTTGATTTGCAGGATAACAATATTAATTGAGGACTATTTTACTTTTGCCTTATTTCTTTTGAGTTTTCTACTCAGTGAACTTGCCCCAAACTAACGAGAGTCAGAACTAGAGTTTGTTAATTTGAAAGAAAGATATTATTTTTCACTCAGTAAAACACTTGATTCAAATCATACACAACTGACTAACAGGATGGGCCAGTGAAAACAGAACTGGCACCATTCCAACCACCAAGAAACCTACAATCACCAATGAACTCCAGAGAATTCAAATTTGACACAGGATATAATACTGCAAGGCGATTCCCCACTTCTTGAACTGTTGCATGAAGGGTTGCTGAACTGCAAAGCAAAATGTCTGCAGGAAATATGATCTCTACTTTAGTATTTATCTCCTTAAATGTAAAGAACCCCAACTAAAGTTATAGAGAACCAACCTGGGCTATCATTTTTCCAAAATTTGATTGCATGTCCTCAAGCGGTTGCTGACTCTTAGTGACCATATACTGTAGATCAATTTTCAAGATGATCTGTCCCTAACCTAGTCCTTCAGCAATCCCAATGGTGCACTCATTGCTACAGTAAGTACCAGCTTGCTGCCAGAGAATGCATAATGTGTCCAAAGTAGGATAAATTGAACCTGATCATATACCACAATAACTAGGATTTCAAAGTGCTCTATTAACAGTTTTTGCTTCATTTATTTTTGTTTTCAGATTTTGCTTTTCTTTGTTGTATTTGAAATCCCAAGCCATTGGTGTGGACAGCCAAATCCACGATACATGATATGATAGAGGTAATATTTTTTCTATGGTATATTCAACAACTCGGTTAGTTTAGTTTCTTCAACCTGGGGCCTTCTAGATGTTTTCAGTTTTAACTTAGAGTAGACACAAGTAATATGAAGAAAGGCATCAGGTTAGAACAGGGGTGTCAAACTTGCAACGTGACGTGTTGCGATGTATCACGACTTTTTTTCCATTGCCGGCAATGGGGTGGGCGCGGTTTCAGCATGACGGATCTGGCCTGCGGGCTGGCAGTTTCACACCCCTGGGTTAGAAGAACAGAAGAATCATATTCATTTTTATGGTTCTTTTTTCTCTGACCTCAAATTGTAATAAGTAGTGCCTGAAGAAAAATATTGACATATACATTGTGTTTTAAGTTTTTAAAAGATAGAAAATAAAAAAACATAATAGAACTTAAAGGTCACTATTAGCACTTTCTGACTGAAGATTTCCCTTTTTATTCTATGAATCGGGACTGCCTATGAAAAATTGGGCTTTCTACTCTTACTCAGATACACTCCCCCCAAGTCCTGCTATGATGCCTCATTACAGTGGAGGATAGGGATGATGTTTCCAGGAGGGATGAGTGAAGAATGCCAGGAGTATATGCCAAGAGTACATAATCCCAACAGAGTCATTCAAGATGTAAAAGTTAGTCCATCTGCCCAGCTAAAGCAACTAGGCTGAAGATGCTGAAAGTGGATGATAGCTTTAATGGCAATGTCAAAGGCATCATTTCATATTGCATGGGAAAATGTAATGGTAAACCACTCCTTTTTCAAATAATTTCTGTCTATCTGGAACATTTGGTCTGAGGGGTATGCTCTAGGCCAGGGCTTTTCAACCTTTTCACCCATTGTACCACTTTTAGGATATGGCAATATCCAAGTACCACCAGTCGCCTAGCAAGGTGTCAACAACTTGATGACTCCCCTCTCAAAAAAAAGGAAAAAAGTGATAAAGTACAGGTAGTCCTCGACTTACAACAGTTCGCTTAGTGACTGTTCGAAGTTACAATGGCATTGAAAAATGTGCCCCCCCCCCAAGCCACAGCCGAGCAAGACACCTGCCTGCCCACCCGGCGGGGCTCTTCCTCCTGTCTGTGGTTTTCATTGTTGTGAGCATTTCTGTTGAGTATTGGCAGCGGGGGTGGTGTGGTGTTTGGTTTTATTCCCCCCATCTGCTGGGTGGTTGCAGCAGGTTTTGGTCACTTCACATCACCCTGGGACACTGTGACCGTCATAAATATGAATCAGTTGCCAAGCATCTGAATGTAAATCACAAGACCCTGGAGATGCTGCAACATTCCAGCTGATCGGTGCTTCTTCAGGGCTCAGCAGAAGCACCAGGATCAGTGCCGAGCTCCAGCTGGAGCCTGGTGCTGATCCTGGCGCTTCTCCTGAGCCCTGACAGCCCCGAAGAAGCTCTGATCAGCTGGAAAACGGCACTGATCCTGGTGCTTCCGATGAGCTCTGACAGCCCTGCAGCTCCAGCCATCTCTCACTCAGGCTTGTGCGGTGCTGCCACCGGTTCAGCTCATTCCCCTCCCCCGCTACCACTTTTCTAGGATGGTCGCGTACCACCTGCCAGGTGCCAATGTATCACAGGTGGTACCCGTACCACTGGTTGAAAAGCCCTGCTCTAGGTTCCCGCAATGAAACAATGTCATTGTGTGGGATTGAGGAAGCATGCCTTTTCTACTGCTGCTCCTGACCTCTGGAACAGTAGTCTCCCAGAGATGCACGCAGTGTCTACTCTCCTGCAGTTCCAGAAGGCTCTGGAGATCTACCTATGATCCCAGGCCTGGGATTAAGGTGTTTATGCCCTGGTTATGTGTTATTGTTATGGTTGTTTTTACTCTGGATTACTACATTGTTTATATTTTTAATTGTTTTAATTATATATCTGGATGTTGTAAGCCACCCATAATTTGTTGAACTGTCATCATAAATGTAAATAATAATGAAGCTGAAGAAAAAATGGACCACCTAGTTTGCTGCTGCAAGAAAATTGCAAAGACTGATTATAAACAATGGCCTGATAAAGTACTGTAGTAACAACAATGTATTGGAATACCTGCAAGAAATAGTGTTTGCCTGCAAGCAAGAAGTGTTGGGACCATAAAATAGACAAAGAATAGAAAATGAAAAAGATAACATGCTCTGGGACTTTAAGATTTAAAGACTTTGTTGGAAGAAAAACTTGTGTAAGTCCTGAGAAAGGTTAAGGAGAAGATAGGGAACAGGCCAGGGCTTTTTTTTTGTCATAGAACGCACCGGAACAGAGTTCCGGCACATTTTTTCAACAGATTTTCCAGAGTTGCCTTGAACAAAATCCTAGTCTTTTAGATACATTAAAAATTGAAGGTTTTTTTTTTTCAACTACAAAGGTAAACCTTGTAGGGTAGGCAAGGCGGGTTGTATGACGTGTGTGAGTTCCGGCACCTTTTTTTTTTTTTTTTTTTTACAAAAAAAATACTGGAACAGGCTATTCTGGAAATAGGGTTTCTTAGCTGGAATCCTTAATACCTCATACCCAATTGTGGTTATTTTTTACATGTTTTATGATACACTATATTGAAAAACAAAAACTTTACGATTCAGTCAAAACTCAGAATGAGCCCTCTGCTGCCTTCCAGCAGTGAAATTATTTGTTAAGGAAAGTTCTGATGGTGGGATTCCTTCTTTCTGTGTGAATTTTTTCTCTTTCCCCACAACATCTCAATTTTCCTCTTCAGTGACTAAATAGATAGAAAATCCAGATTTTGGCATTTTTGGCGCTAGGTGGTAGTAGTGGTCATGGCGCTGAAAAATACAATTTATGTTATTTCTAGTTCTGCATAGAAAATAAATCTTGACATGTGGTGATGAGTGGTGACATTGTCCTATGGCAGTCTTCCCTAATCTAATGGCCTGTAGATAAATTTGCATTATATATGCAACACAGTACTTCCTTTCTCTCTGTTAATACAAGTCTGTGAATAAATAACATATTCAGGCACATCCAAAACTGATTTTCTCTGAGAGTTTGTTATATCTTAAAGACTTATTTAAGACTAATTAATCTGAAAATGTTGGACAAAGGTGCAGTTAGATAATTTTAAATCATGGGTTTCAAGGCTATTTTTTAAATGTTTCAATGTCTTTTTAAAAAATAAGCAGCATATCTAAAAGTCACTGGAATAAGGCAGGCTTCTAACATGATATACTGTGTACCCAGTTGCCCAAGGATGAGGTGTGGAGCTGGGATGGAAAAGTACTCAACTTGAAGAACCACGTTTGCAGGTTGGGTGGGTCCCTCCTTCTGGCTTTGTTCCTAGATTATCAGATGTAGTCTTCTGGATGCATTTGCTGTTCTTTTCCTTGGAAAAAGTAAATCTGGTTCCCATCATATCTTCTTTAGTGATAGGTAAATTTAACTAAACAACAACAACTTCCTTTTTTATGACCCTGTGATCCCTTAATTCGGGGTAGAGTCGGGGCAACTGGATGGAGCTGAGCATTTACTAGCCAGATGTCCTTCCTGACACCACACGGAGTTCACAGCAGATATTTTTTCTTTGTGCCCTAGGAGAGAAACATCTGCCACTACCTAGGATTTAACTCTTAACTTTCTGAGATGTGAGTGTCTTCACCACTAGACTACAATGCCACTCTAACAACAACAACAACAATACATACAAAACAGCATTTTGGGCGGCCATCCAATTTACAAATGTGGGTAAAATTACCTATTTCTAGCAAATTGCTCTATCCATAGAAGACTAAGCCATCATATATACAACACTTAATGGCCAAATAAGATTAATAAGCCAGTCTATGTTGCAACTGTTGTGAATTTGAAATAATAATTATGTATATTGCACAGTATGATCAATATACCACTTCTGTAAATCCCATTAGAACATGTTAACTGTCTACATTCAATACATAGAAATAAAGATCCAATATGAATGTCTCCTGCATAATTTCTAGTTGTAGAATAATACCATCATTCTTCTTTTCTTTGATATATTCCTTTGAGGGTTTCTTCTAATTTTTCTATTCATCTGATCCAAAATACATGGTTTTGGAATTTTTTTTGTGTGTGCTATTGAAGAAAGCACTGGAGTAACTGTAATAATGTTTTTAGGAGCTACCCTAAATATTGGAACAAAATAATAATTCAGAAATACATTAGAACTACTTTGAGCAATTCATATCTATTATTGCAGCTTCTTAAGAAACAGTTTTTGAGTATGCATAGTGTAGATGACCAGTAATAAGGGCGAGTAAGACATTGTGCCCAACTTGAACATGACTAACACTAAAAAAATGTTTATTTTCTGAAACTAATTACTATAGTGAATTGCCAGGTACTTAATAAATATTATTTTTCCAGTCTTAGTCAGCAAAATAATAGAGTGCTATTGAGCTCTGGTATGTAGCATTAAGCATTGTGAATTTTACATAATGTAATCAGTGTTTGAATATCTGATGAGTTTTTCACATGATCATTGACAGTATTCCATTTTGATTTAAATATTGGAACGATCTTCTGATCTTCTTTATATTGAAGGTGAACTGCTGTGCAGTAAGTGGAATATTGAACCATTAGATTCAGGAAGCTTGATATTCAATGTAATCTTATACTATCTATTTGCATGTTGGTCTATCTCGGGAAAGTCTCCCACCTTTAAAGCGCTCCATGGCATAGGACCTGGATATTTACGAGACCGCCTTCTGCCACAGATTCCCTCCCACAGACCGGTACGCTCCCACAGAGCGGGCCTCCTCAGGGTGCCGTCGGCCAGGCAGTGTCGGCTGGCGACCCCCAGGGGGAGGGCCTTCTCTGTGGGTGCCCCCACCCTCTGGAACGAGCTACCCCCNCAACAAGCGGGACTGACCTAGGGTGAATTTTAAATAGGGAATAATTTTTAAAAATTTTCAAAGATTTTAAATATGACACAGCTATTAATATATTTGCTTTTTAATTGGTTTTATAGGGGAAATGTTTTTTGTTTTGTTTTTTAACATGCTGTGAGCCGCCCTGAGTCCCTCTGGGGAGAAGGGCGGCATAGAAGTTTATAAATAAATAAATAAATAAATAAACATCTTTATGGAGAGATGTTATTCTGAGAGATTTCATCACACTGGGTGGATATGAACATTTGCAAATTTTCTGGAGTCACTCAAAGGATGGTCAGGTAAGGAGACAGGTCTTTTTGAGTCTTTGCCTCTGCTGTTCTTTCTTCATCTTTCTCAAAGCTGCTCTTGAAGCCTCTGTGAATATGTCAGTAATATTTTCATGGTAGAGGGCTGAACACTCAAAATATGCAACTGCACGGAGATTCCGAGCCAAGGCCTCTCCCTACAACAAAAAGAACAACATTGACATATCTTCTTAAAATTAGGGCAGGATAGGCAATGTGTGGCCTTCTAGGCCTTGGACTGCAACTCCCATCATTTTGTGCCACGGGCCATTCTGCTCACAGGTGATGAGAGTTGGAATTCAACAACTGCTGCTCGTTCCTGATTTAAAGAATGGGTAGAATGGGTAAAGGGCAACATACTTACAATACTGAGCTACCACAAAGCACAGGTGGTATTTCAAGATGAGGATGCAATGGTAACCATTTGTCTATGTAATTTCCAGCTATCAAGCCCAACTTGATGGGATCTGGCTGAATATTAGGATAGGGAAGTGCTTTGGATTTGATTCCAAAAATGTGTTTCAGAACATGGAAGGGCATAAATGTAGCATATGCCTACAATTCTTTGAAGTAGCTGCATCCTTTCCATATGCATGCAGTCAAGGGAAAAGAAGAAGCAGCTCTAAGGAGTTGCAGACATGTTCTTTTGTACTTTCATACATTCCAAAGCATACTTTCTGTATTATTTCTGAAGTATTGTTCAGCCCTGCTATTATTAGCACCTTTTGTTAGCTTTGATGAGACTGAATGTAGGCAGAACGTCACCTCATGTATTATGTTTTTCGGAGGTAAAGATTGTGGCTGTATAGTGCAACATGATTATACAGAACAGTGGGTGTCTGATTGTAGTACCTTCTGGTATGTGATGGGTTCTAGTTGGTTTTGATGTAACTTCCTTACTAGAACTTTGTCATTCCTTAGGTCAGTTTTGCAACCAACAAGCAAAATTGGAATCCCTTTGCAGAAATGGTTTGCTTCAGGGTACCACTAAAATGAGAGACAGACGAGATTAAAAAACATCAAAAGTAGACAGGTTTCAGGTATACAGAATCTGGTTTATTTTTTACTACATGTCTGAAAACTAGCAAAGAGCCTTCTATAAAGGATGTATATCTAGAATGAATGAGTTTTTACTCAAGGAATTTGTTTTCATCAATGGTCTTTCAGTGGGAATGTACAGACAGCTGTGAAAGCTGGACACAGAGAAAGAAGAAGAGAAAGAAAATAGACACTTTCAGATTCTGGATTTGGAGATGGTTGCCAAGAGTACCATGGACTGCAAGAATAACTAATCAGTCTGAATTCTGGACCAAATAAAGCCGATCTGTTCTACCATTCAACAAAGACTTGCACATTTGGGGCATGTGATAAAACCAGATGATGGACTAGAATAAAATGATTATGCAGGACAAAATGGAGTGAAATAGAAGAAAAGGAAGCAAACCCAAAAGCTGCATGGGTGTCCTTGGAAGAGCTGCAAGTTTTTCTGGTATAACAATTTGACTATTTTATTTACTGTAAGACACACACCTTCTCAATAGATACTAGAGCAAGCAATTTTCATTGAGCTCACACATTATGTTGGTCTTGTTACCTTTGTGAGGATGTTGTTGAAGCTGATGGGATTGGTGACATCATAACATATGATCACTGCATGGGCCCCGTTATAGGACAGAGGACGGAGTCTGTCATAATCTTCCTGTCCTGCATGGAATAATGTAACATATATGTGCATTGATTAATATTTTATATATAAGCATCATTTACAATATACTGTATGCACAAATGTTTATTCAAGGTCTTCCTCCCAGTCCCTTAGTACATTTCACTTCCCATAATAGCCACAAATAGCCATATTAATATATAAGGTAGTTTATGTCCGTCCTATATAATCCCTAAGTAATTTAAAGTATATGAAAGCCAAGCTGGATGACTTTGGGCCAGTCACTCTCTCTCAGCCTAACCCACCTCACAAGGTTATCACTGTGGGGAAAGCATGAGGAGGAAGAAGTACTAGGTATCTTTGCCACCTTGAATTATTTTTAAAAATAATAAAGGCACGGTAAAATTCTAATAAATACAATAAATAGTATAGTCTAATACACATTGTTTTCTCAATCCATTCAGTGAAGTTTGCTTCTAGTTAAATGTGTAAAAGATTGTGATTTGTGCCGCGTGGGTGTGGCCAATTGGGGGTGAGGCCCATTGGGTGGGCGTGGCTGCGATGGTAACAGCAGACTGGGTGGGACTAAAAAGTTCAATCAATCAATTCCAACTTTGCGAGATCTTTTCCCCCCCCCCCGCGAGTTGAAATTGACTGATTGATTGAACCTTTTTTTTTTTGCACACGGCAGCGGAGGCCTAAAGCGAAAAGGTTTTATAAAACCCAGCTGAAGGCCTAGGACTGGGGCGACGGCGCACGTGCCCACAGAGAGGGCTCTGAGTGCCACCTCTGGCACCCGTGCCATAGGATCGCCACCACTGTGGTAGATCTTTTTTCTAGAGATGAAAGAAACACTGTCCTTTCAGCTTTGTTGAAAGTATTTCTTTCATCTCCAGAAAATAACATCCGGTATCTTTGGACTGATGTTATAGGAAAATTTCAAGGTTCTAGAAATGGCCACTTTGAACTCCGAGAGATTGTCTGATATTCTCTGTAAGGGAGGTTTTTGTCATTTGCTTCTTCTCCGTCTTGGCTCATTTTTATATATTTTAATGAAAGGAAGCATTGAAAGGGGCTTTTTGTTACACTTGTCTGCCTCTGAAATACAGTTTCTGCAGGAAGATCTCAGTACTGTCAATAGATAGGGCAGCAGGGGAAGTGGGAGCAAGCAAGGCTATAAAATGTATAAAAGTGGGGGCAACGTTGAAAATGTATAAAAAGTGGCTTGCTTATTATGCAGTGAAGGGACGGTTACAGGATATCCTGAGTGATCTACCTTCTTTGTAAGAGCCAAAATGTTTCTTTCACCCATGCAGAGGCACTTCAGGGCAATCTGTCTCAACAGATGGATTAGACTCACTCTCATTATCATCCCTAGTCAGCATGCAGGCTGTGAAGCCCAGCACACTTGAGGGACACCAGCCTTGATAAGGCAAAATGTTCATTGCATGGTAGATCACCACAAGACTTCCCTCTTGGTAAAACATTGTGATGCATAAAGAGATCAGGTGATACTACCTTCCCAAAAGAGCAGAAAGCTTTTTGCTTATGGCCTGCATATTTCTGTCCATATGTGGATAAAAGATTGTGACGTGTTTTACATACTTCCTAAAGAGAGCAACCATAAGCTAATACTGTAGTGAAAGATAATTCTTTAAATTTAATTCATTTCATCCACCCCCACGTTGCTATGTTTTAGGTTGTTTTTTTCCAAGCAAATAATTCTGCCTGATTAGCTGGCTTTCAATCAGTAGCCAAAAATTGTTGGCAAACCCCAGCTGCATTTAACTTCCTTCTGGAAGATGATGTCTATCTATACAGGCAAAAGCTTGCTCGTTCTTCTACTAATGCAATCTCACTGGAAAGATTTTTATTTCGCTAATGTATCTGTTTAAAAAACAATGCAGCCGTTTTGACACAGGCCTTACCTGCTGTGTCCCAAAGGCTGATGTGGACTTGCTTGTCATTAATGTGAAAGGCAGCAGAATATTTCTCAAAAACTGTTGGGACACAAGCCTGGAAGAAGATGATGAAGAAAGTTACAGTTTTGCTTAACTGGATACCTCTTGAAGGATTGGTTGGTCTGATCCCATCCTTGCAGGGCAAATTTTTTTCTTCCACAGCATCTATTTCCTTTCACGTTATTTGTTTAAGAATATGTAGGCTGCTTTTCCAAACAAATCTTTTCCTACAAAGTCTTCAAAACATTTTGAAGAATCATATCTAACCTCTCTCTCAAAAAAATTCTAGCATTAATTAACAGCATCAGAAAACAAATCCCCCCAACAACTAACAAATACACAACACATCTACTGAAACAATATGTTGAATAATTAAAACAGCCAGTAGCCAACAAAAACAGATCAATTAAAAAGCGCCATTGGAGTGAGACGAGAAAATTAGCATTAGGCAGTCTGGAGAAATAAAAGTGTATTTTCCTATAATTAAAAAATGTAATAAATACATAGCAAGGAAATTTGAGTACTGGCAACAATGAAAAGGCCCATTCTCAGTTGGCCCAACCTGAGTAATATCTCACTGTGAAAGGGTGCCTTTAGGAGCACCTCTAAGTGATCCATATCCCAGTTATTGTCTCATCCATGGCTTCCCTGCCACAATCCTTGAGGGAGAAAGCATATTATCCACTTCTGCTGAATTATTATTATAAACCTGGAGCCAATTTTCATCTGACTCTAGATTACATTTGGTAAAACAAAATCCTCAGAGTTATATAGGCAGATATTTCCAAATATTCTTTTATTTCACAAAGCTATAGGAAAGTAATTTCTTTGCTTTTCCTTCTTTTCTATCTCTGCCACATGTCACCAATCCACATTGACTTATTTTTGCAATAAAACTGATTCAGTTGTCAACGCAACATACAGATAAAAGTAACCAGGATAGATCACTTCAGCTTATACATGCAGATACTGATCTGTGGAGTCCTTGGTGTTCTCTGAACTTGATTGTTTGCATGCAGATGTTTCATTACCCAACTAGATAACATCATCAGTACACTGATGAGATGTCTGCAAGCAAACAACCAAGCTCAGTGTGCACCAAGGACTCCACGATTCAACCCTGAGCTACATACATTCTCTTCTGTTGGAGACCTAATTTTTGGGTGATTATTTTTAAACAAATAATTTTCAAGGGAGACTCTAATATGAAACTGTTAAATTATAAACTAATATTAAATTCTATAGCCTGCATCAATGAAATAGTTTATTATGTTATGTTATGTTACGTTACGTTACGTTACATTACATTACATTGGGTAGGATGTAAAAATTGTATTGCTAATGGCTAATTGAATAACAATGAGCATATGTTATTGCCAAGGATATAGAATTCAGTCCTGTGGTCAAATCTGATTTCCAAGGTTATCCCATCTAGCTGGCAGGTTCTGAAGTAAGGCACTGCACCCCTCATGAGTGCATCACTTCCCCTAGATGACACCTTCACCATAATAAAAAAGGACCAGTTAGAGAACACCCATAGAACCATCAATAACATTTTTAAAGGAATCCAGTTTACAAGAGAAGAAAAAAACCAACAACTTGCTACCCATCCTGGACATTTTGATCAGCAGGGACCACAATGGCAAACTAGAAATGCAGGTCTACAGAAAAACCACTCATACTAACCAGGTGTTCCACTATCAAAGCAACAATCCAACCTCCCACAAGAGAAGCTGCGTAAGGACTTTATTTAGATGAGCCCAAACACACTGCAGCAACCTGTAACAGCAGAAAAAGGAAATAGATCATCTATACAACATATTCCAACAAAATGGATATCCACACAACTTTATCAAAAAGTCCCTGACCACTCAACTCAACCCAACACAGCACAGTCAATACAAACCCTACATCAAGAATATCTCAAAAACCACCAACAGAGTATGACAATCACATGGAATCAGCATAGCACACAAGCCAACTAAAGCCCTTCAAAACATCCTAAGCAAATCAAAAGACCCAACAACCCTAGAAGAAAAAACAGGAGTCATCTACAACATACAATGTAAGGATTACAACAACCACTATATAGGACAAATAGGCAGAAGACTGACAGAATGCATCCACGAACAGGGATGCATGGGTAATGCTTACTGTTTTCTCATCATATATACATGTAGAGTATACATCAATGGGCCTAATGAAATAGATTTTACTTCATGAAACTTTATACTGCTACAAATGAACTAATGTTAAAGTGTTACCAGATTCTTATTTCTTTTACGTAACCAATGCAAAGTCTAACTTTAAATAATGCAGGTTAATCTATTTGCCCA